ATTTATAAGTTTGTCTATAGATAATACGAGTTTGCATTAAGGAAAAAACGTATCTCGTGAACTTTTTAATATTTTCTTTGCTACATTAATTAAAGGAAGGCTGTGCTGTTTTTTTTTTTTCGTATTATTAATTTCTTGTGTAAAATAAATATATACGAGCACGCAGTTATTTGAAGGAAAGCGGGTCGTTTAAATGACTTAAGGTTGTTCTTGGTAAAATAATTACAGTTCGTACGAGCACGCGAGTCGTGGCTGCTTTTCACCGACCGGAATGTCCACGACTCGTTTCCCAACGTAAAAGGAAATTTTGCCTAACGCGAGCTTAACCACGCGTTCTTTTTATTATCAAAATACCAATTAATCAACGAAGGTTACACGAGTTGAATTAGAAATAGTTAATTACTAAATGGCAATAAATTGTCGTGCATTTATAGTAGCATAGAAAACCTATTAATTAAATTATATGTATAGTTATAATAAAAATTATTCTTTATTAAAAATACGTGCACTTGTTCATTCTGCAGCACCTGGAGTGCAGGCTTGTCCTACGAACAACTTGGCACAGTACGACAGATGCGTACGGAAGCAACTGGACGCTATCATACCGTATCTAGCCAAGGGGATCCCGTCTTTAAAGCTCCCAGCTTTGGACCCGTTGTTCCTACCCTCGTTGACGGTGGACAGGAATCTGGACTCGTTGAAAATTAAGGCGAACATGACTCACATTCGTGTATACGGAGCGACGAATTTCCTCATCGACGATCTGAAAGCAAATCCGCGCGACTTGTCGGTTAACATCAAAGTCCAGCTACCGCACATTCACGTGAACGGGAACTACGACGTTCAGGGAAGGTTGTTACTGTTACCGTTGAACGGAGGTGGCAGTTTTAAAGGAAATTTCAGTAAGAATTCTTAAAATAATGATAATTTTTATTGATATTGATAAGAATGAAATTATAAATTGATTTATTTTTATAGCCAATACGGAGGTACTAGTGAATGCTCAAGGAAAAGAGGTCACTGACAAAAATGGCATTGGAAGGATCGACATCGATAAACTGGTAACGAAAATTCGTGTTGGCGATGGGAACATCAGATTGAAGGCTCCTCCTAGTCACACCGTGGCTGGTACGTATTTTTTCCTGCTTCATTCTTCATTTTTTCTAATTAAGGAAATTCATTTATTCACTAAAAATCACTGATATCAGAAATGACGAATCCTGTCGATGTAACATTTCCAATGTCTCTCAGTTCCTTTTCATCGATCCAAAAAGCTGAGATCTATTATTGTCTGGAAATGTTTTATCGACTTTCTATCCGCGTCAGGCTTTCTCTCTCAACATTCCGTTCTATTCGATTCGTTTCAGCTGACGCGGCAGCTACGTTCTTCAATTCGAACCCACGGTTGGTCCTGGACATCGCGAGCCCGATCATCGAGGACACAGCTGCTACTGTTAGCAGAGCGTTGGTCGCGAGAGCGTTAGGCGTGTTAACAAAAGAGGAATTGTTACCCTAGTCTGCGAGTTTCATCGGTGGGAAATTATCATAAGTCTGTGGTCGTAATATTAAACGTCATGAGTAGACTCGCGGATATTTATGCAAAATAAAATATTTCTAATTGCAGATTAAAAAATCTGTTTTAAATAATGGTTTCATTTATCATTTAAATATTCCAATGTGGACTCTAATGTTTCCATTTTATAAATTACATGCAGTATTTATCTTTTTTGCATATCCAGTTTTATTATAAATGCATAAAATCTGCAGTCTAGTCATAAATAATGTAGAAATTGAATATTCGCAACATTTATTCAACTTTATAGTCATCGTCCGAATTTGAAACAAACCAGGATTTCGAAACGAACAGCAACTTTTAATTCCATTTTAATTGTAGCCAATCGAAAGTGTAAATAAAATTATTTATATTTGCGTTTCATTAAAAATTATTAAAATTTCTTTTCGATCTGTAATTGTTAAACGCGACCTGATGTGATTAAAGATATTATTAGAATTAGGAAGGATGGCTCGTTTGGAGACGATCGAAGTTCATTCATTAAATTTAATGAATCACAAGCTATCGTTCTTATAATTAGACTGTACATATAAATCTGTGGTCTGAAATAATAAAAATAGTTGTTACGATAAATTTTAGTTTCATTCACCCTCCCTTCATTTTATTTCAAATTATTAGAAATTGTATCTTAGGTTTCAGTGTTTTTATTTTATTGTAAAAATATTATCAGGCTATAGAATTTGATGAGAAACAATTTACAATAGTAGTTTTGTAAAGTAAAATCAACTATCAAATAGAACGAGAAATACTGTCGATTGCTGTTTCTGTAGAAATTCGCTTAGTCATCTGGAAACAGTTCTTTGTACGTAAAGGATTTCGTGATGTTGTTGGCCACGTCCGTGAAAAGCTGTGACAGCGATGACTCCAACACGGGTGTCAGTTCTTCCAGTAACAGTGCGTTATTGTTATTTAGCAATTCGTGAGTGGCAGCAGCTGATTTCGAGAAAGCAGATAAAAATTGAAATGAAATAATTAGCTCGTTGAAATCCTTATTAGATCGTAGATCTGATAATTTGATAAGAAAACTGAATCTACAGAATTCAGGTTCACTTACATAGAACGTTGTCACCGCCGAATAAATTGGTAAGTTGTAAATGCGTTTTGCCGATTCTCAGCTTGAGTTTCATTTTCTCGAAATGCAAGTAGGTGTCGTTGTCCCTTTGTATCTTGTCCGCTTTCAGAAGTACGTCCGAGGCATAATCAGCTGTGAAACGAAATGTTCATTATCTTCCAGAATTAATTAACTGGTTCGTCTCTTTTAAATATTCATTGCTTTCTTACTGAAGGTTCCTGTGATATTCCCTTGGCCTCTCAATTTGAGCAAAAGTACTGTCGCGTCGATCTGATATTTCCCTTTGAAGCTCAGCTTGTCGAACAAGACTCGGAAAGTGAACACCACGTTCTCGACATCTGATGTCAGATTCTGCACTCTGAACGTGGACGGACCTCTTACCTAATAAAAAATAATTAATAAAATCACGAACAAATATAAAAATCAATACAATCAAATATAATTTCATTAAAAAACCGTCGAAAATACAACAGATTATTGTAGAAGACAAACACAAATGCAATTTCATTTTTTAAGATCATAGATATTTCATGTCACTTAAAATTCCAGTTTGATTAATGTAAAACGATAGAGCTCGTGAATTTACCCTTAAGTCTGTGACATTGATTTCTAGCTTGGCACCAACCGGTCCTCGAATCAAATGGACCTCCTTTAAATTCAAAGGTTCAATAGCAGGGGCATCGAGTTCCGGTATACCAGAAGCTAGCTTCGGCCTCAGCTCATCGATGGTCTTCACAATGCAATTGTTTATATCCGGATCGCTCTTCTTGCACGGTTTTATATAAGGCGCTATAAACATTGAACGATTTCATCACTGGAATTTTGGACTCAGTTTTACTTTTATTAATTAGTTTAATTCGACCATATTCAGATATTAAACGCAGTTAAGAGATCGAATTATTATCATTATATCAACGGTACACTCTCGTCGATATTCGTCGACTCTCATCGAGATTAAAAAAACCGTTTTTTCGTTTTTTGCAAATAACTCGTTGAATATTAATGCCAGCGAAAAACTATCATATAGAGATTGTAGATCTCGTCGTCCCCTACAAAATGAGCCTAAGAACGCCCCCCTACGTCCATCCGTTCGGGAGTTATTGAGTAAAAACGAAATGTCTTGTTAAAAGTTCGCTAATTCGACGGGCGAATTGAAGAATCTGAAGGCGAACATTGACGAAATTCGCCCGTCGAATTAGCGAACTTTTAACAAGACTTTTCGTTTTTCCTCAATAACTCCTGAACGGGTGGACGTAGGAGGGCGTATTTAGGCTCATTTTGTAGGGGACGACAAGATCTACAATTTCTATATAATAACTTTTCGCTAGCCTCAATAGTTAACGAGTTATTTGCAAAAAACTGTTTTTTCGTTTTTCGCCAATAACTTCCGAACGGGTACAGATAGGGTGACGTGTTTAGATCCATTTTGTAGAGGACGACGAGATCTACAATCTCTATATAACAGTTTCTCGCTAGCATTAATAGTTTACGAGTAATTTGCAAAAAACTGTTTTTCGTTTTTTGCAAATAACTCGTTAACGATTGGCACTAGCGAATTCTTTTTGCACAGAAATTGTAGATCTCGTCGTCCCCTACAAAATGAGACTAAGAACGCCTCCCTACGTCCACCCGTTCAGGAATTATTGAGGAAAAAGGAAAATTGCAGAAATATTGCCGTACATACTGGAGTCAAGCATGGTTCGCAGCCGTGAACGCTAGATGGCGTGACGATGAACTTTTTAGACAACTATTAGCACTTTCGCTTTTAACAAGAAATTTCCTTTTTGCCTCAATAACTCCCGAACGGATCGACGTAGGGGGCCGTATTTAGACTCATTTTGTAGGGGACGGCGAGATCTACAATTCCTGTGCAAAAAGATTTTGCTAGTGCCAATAGTTAACGAGTTATTTGCAAAAAACGAAAAACAGTTTTTTGCAAATTACTCGTAAACTATTAATGCTAGCGAGAAACTGTTATATAGAGATTGTAGATCTCGTCGTCCTCTACAAAATGGATCTAAACACGTCACCCTATCTGTACCCGTTCGGAAGTTATTGGCGAAAAACGAAAAAACAGTTTTTTGCAAATAACTCGTTAACTATTGGCACTAGCAAAATCTTTTTATACAGAAATTGTAGATCTCGTCGTCCCCTACAAAATGAGCCTAAGAACGCCTCCCTCCGTCCACCCGTTCAGGAGTTATTGAGGAAAAACGAAATTGCACCAAATCTGAAGGCTACTTGCACGGTTTTATATAAGGCGCTATAAAAATTGAACGATTTCATCACTAGAACTTTGGACTTTTATTAATTGGATTAATTCGACCATATTCAGATTTTAAACGCAGTTAAGGGATCGAATTATTATCATTATATCAACGGTACACTCTCGTCGATATTTTTTATTATATACTTTGACGAGAAGTGCTACCTGCTTGCCTCGAGTCACGAAGTTATTACATTTTTGTCGGATACCGGATTTCCTTCATCCTGTAGCTCGTCCTCGCATCTCGTAATGTAAAAAATCAATTTGAAATCGAGCAAACTCCAAGCTCTTTCAGTACTTCTCCATTAGATATCTGCTTTCTACTTCAAAATGTTACGAATTTCAATTTGTTTATTTGTCTGATCGATGCGATTATGATCTACTGTGAATTCATTAAACTGCGACGTTCTCTGTCTATTCTATTTTATATTCTTATTGTATAATTGATAATGAAATGCGTTAATGAACGAGAAAACAACTACAACTTATGGTGATTATTTACGTTTAAAAAAATTGATTTCTCATTCTAAAGTGATTGGATATAAGAACTTCATTTCTGATTCGAATGAAATTGAAATCAGTGACGTTATAGTTCATAGTACTATAAGACTGCATGTATAATGACGATGAAATAATTTCCGATCGAGTGTTACTACAGATATCGAACAATTTGGAAATCTGTGGATAAGTTCGTGACGAAAAAAAGTCAAGGTGCACCGGATCGGCGATCTTGATTCGAACGAGTTCATGGCCACGAGTGCAGAACTGCGTCAACAAGGGAAAAAAACCGAAAGCGGCACGACGTGTGTCGCAAGGTGTTTAAAATGCACGCGACCCGTCACGCTTCTATTTTTCCACCGAGCAAGTCTAGCGAGCCGAAATTTCGTAATCGATTCTGAATGCCAGTGGTTCCCTCGAGGGTACCACGCTGACGTTCGCGAAAATGCTCGGGACAGACATTTGAAAACTCGCACCAACGCACCAGTGGAAAAAGGATTATAAAAGATGCAAGAGAATCGATTTTCCTAAATTCGTGTTAATCTTATAAGGCTTTTACTCACGTAGGACAGCTAAGACAGTAGAGAATAGAATCGCCGTTAGGCTGAAAAAACGTAGAAATATTAATAATGATTGATCAAATTATTAATACTACTTGCGTCAAATCTCGTAATTCTTTATTATAGAAATCATGCTCTACATCGTCTGTCT